AAGTAGGTTTTGGTAGCTTAAGGGAGAGTAGAATGTAGGGTGTGGTCCATAGTAGTTCCTTTTCGGGGTTACCTTATAGGATCCTAAATATAAAGCAATAAAAGGGAACTAACATGGAGCCTACGGGTACTACTTTGGTCTAGGGAAGAATCCCCCCATAACAGCACATGAAAGCCCTTCGGGCAGCTGAGTGACAGAAACCCGCATGACCAATTACTACTTGGCTCCCCAATTACACAACCTTTAAACTTTTTGGGTTCTCATATAAATTTAGTAGTAATCTGAAAGTTTAACCTTTTGTTTCCCTGCATATTGGGGAAGTAAGACTAAGAAGTCGCTGGAGAGCCTAATACGAAGCCTGTAGAACCCTGAAGAAACCCTACCGGGCACTTATCAGATCCTTTTGTGAACAGCCGCAGAAAAGTTGTACAGCCATGAAGAATCATAAGAACCCTATAAGGCTACTACATAATGCGTATAACCTATATGAATAAAGCCATTATAACACATAAATACGAACCCAAGAAATTGCCAATAAATCCCGATCAGGTCGCCATGGCTCTGGGCATCAACCAGATGTTACAGTCCATGTCCTATTTCATCGCCGGGCCCGTGCAAAAGCATAGGCGCCCTGGGGTATTATGGGGTCTCCATACAGGGGTGGTTCTCTAAATAACGGTGCCTTCAGGGTCTTGTTTATAAGAGTGCCGTACTAGCTTGGGGTCCTAATAGGGGCCCTCATTTAGAGAACTACCCACAAGTTCTACGGGGTTCGTTTGGGCGATTCTTTGTGTCTTGAGGGTTTCTTTGGCGTTGTATATAAGGGTCCATTGATTTGTGTTTCGGCGGTTGTTCAGGATGTTTCTAAAGTCTTTAGGCATCATGTGGGGCTCTTTTGGGTCCTATGGGGTTGTATAGAGTGCTTACATAAGGGTCTGTCTTGAGTCAATGCAAGCATTCGCTGGCCTTTGTAATGCCCTGTTTTTGTTGCATGAGGATTCTTCAGGGTCTTCATAAGGTCTACTGTCGTGGTGGCCGAATGGTAAACCTCGTGCAAATGAACCCCTATAAATACCCTTTGGTTCATATAATTACATGGTTTTGAGTAGGTTTTCAAACCTCGCGCCAAATTTAGGTACACTCCGTATAAACAAAGCCCAATTAGAGACCCAAGCCGCTACTTCCCATTGAAGAACCTCACGTCCTGAGCTCCCAGTCCTCCACCCTGAAACCTCCGAATGGTGCTGCAGGCACATGGGTAGTTCTCTAAATTAGGATCTTGTTTCAGGTCCCCCAATATCGTGCGGCACCCTTACCCGAAATGGGATCTTCATTTAGAGAGCTACCCACATACTAAACATGCATACCAAAAAACCAAGCAACCCCTAAACCCTAAGCCCTAATCCTAAACCCTAAACCGTGAAGCATAGGCTCAACACCCAGCAAGCCCACCCTTCAGACTGCAATCGCATTGCATGAGGGACTTTGCTCCGGAGCGCTGGCTTGAATAGGGTTTAGGGTTCAGGGTTTAGGGTTTAGGGGTTCATGGATAAGATGATTAAGACCTGCACGGTCCCAAAACCGCAACATACTAGGGTATATACATAACGAACCCCAATTAAAAAAAAAACGGGTTTCATAGCCAGGCTCCTATATTTAACCCTTCTAGTTTTGTTTGGGGGAGCCCTTTCAGGAACCCTTAAAGAACCCTTCAACCTTAAACCCCACCTTACAGATGCAAGTGTTTTACTCGTCGCAGAACTGCCCTTCCTTCTCTCAAGTACTTGGAGGCTCATGGGTAGTTATGAGCAGGGTTACAAGTTAGGTTAACTGTAGTGATAACCCATATTAGGGGAATTGTACCCCCACTTAAAACTACCCCTACACCCTAAACCCTAAAAACCCCTATAGGACCCTTTAAAGGACCCCGTAAAGGAACCCCATATCCCCACTTATAACTACCCATGAACCTCCAAGTACCCCATGTCTTCCTTGGGGTTTAGGGCTTATAGGGCTGTCAGCTCCCCAGCGTATTCAGATTTCCAAGCGGCTCGTTTAGATTTGCATATTCAGATTAGATGTTAAGGCGTGTTAGCATGTATTCAAGGTTTTTTGGGGTCAGGGTATGTTGCAAATCGGTGTTGCACAGCGATTCTCTTGCCTCTGCATCCCGACCCGCAGACATTACACCCGAGCATAAACCATACATACTCATTTCTTGCTCCTGAGCTGGAGCCATAAACCATTGAATCCTCTTGGAGCCTTCGATACGAACCCCTTTAAGGAACCCATATAGTGCCCTCTTTCAAGAAGAGCCCTCCGATATCTTCTTTGCTCTGGCTAGGCCCAGCTTTGCTTTGATCACCGTGATGGGAGTTCAGGCAGGGAGACCTAGGGTTTAGGGGTTTAGGGACAAGTGAAGCTCTTTTGATCTTTCCAGGTTCGCGCTTTGGGCTAGAATTTCCTGCTTCCTTTCGGCATATGTTGCAATCTTCAGTTTCATAGGCATATATCCTCAACCCGACACTTAAACCCGCCAGGCCCCAGCTATAAACCACCATATCTTACAGGGCCAAGGAGCTCCCCAGCTGGGCCTTGAAGGGGTTTCTATATAACCTATGTGGTAACTCTACCCATAGGCTTCACAGCAGTTCCTTTTTGGGGGTTACCTTATAAGGATCCTAAATAGAAACCCAAAATGGAACTACTATGGAGCCTATGGGCAGACCCAACTTGTACCAACTCTGCAAGGTTGCAAGGACCCGCATTGTAACTCGACGAAGGCTAGTCCCAGGAATTCTGATGCCGGAATGCTACATATTCTGGTAACTGGCAAGGGTTTAGGGTTTAGGAATCTGGTAACAGTATAGATCCGAAGCCCTATACCATGGAGTAGCCTACTCCCCGACGTACAGCATGGATTAGGACTGAGCCAAATGTTCTGGGTTCCCCAGTAGTACCATTTTGCCCTTTGTTATTCTTGGGTTTCCGGCAGCAGTTACCTAAAAGCCTTTGGCTTCGAAATCATAATGTACACCCTAAACCCTAAACCCTATACTCTCGGGATCACCGCTCTACAGAGAACCGAGGGTTTGTTGGAGTCTAGCTACGTGGTTAGCACTCTCAGTTGTTTGTTGTGGGGCCGGTTTCTCTAGGGCACTACTTCATAGTGTCATAATGACAATGGATGATGGATGTTTATGGACGGTTATGGATGATGGATGTTATGATGGTATGATGGGTGGTGACGACGACGAAGGAAGTTCAGGGTGCAGGTAAACAGCCGGATGATGTACTGAGGTAAGACAATAGCGGTGTCATCCCTAATCCCAAAGTGTAGCAACACAGTGAAGACACGGGTCCAAAGGCTCGCCAAGAATCGAGACCATGGTGGGAGGCGTTGGTGGCAAGGGAAATCACAAGTGTACACGGTCCTGAATGCTGGGACCAGTGTTGGCTCGCTGCGAAGGCAGGTGCAGGGGGTCTGGACGTTGGCGCCGAGAAACCCCAGGTGAAGTCCAAGCAGACAACTCACGAAGCACCGAATCGTTGAGGTTAGATGATCTGTTGTGGCACCAGCCCTTAGCGGTATGTGGTCCTTGCTTGATACACAATATGGTGCCAATGGTGCGTGCAATTCGTGAACATGGTCGGGGCCTCAGGGGTGATGTAGTTGAGATAAATGAAGAGGCACATGGGACAGATGAGGCCCCGTCCCCCTGGCTCACCTACCTCAGGGATTCGGACGCTTCGGCAGAGGAACGGGCCTGCAAGAAAAGCAAGCAAACGACAGAAACTGACGACCTGCCTGCCTGTTCAGGCCATTGCCTTCTTCCTTCTGAAGTTGGACTGGCGGACGATGGATCCCTGGCAGATGAAACCCTTCAACCTACCTCTAGCGTAAAGTCTGAACCTTGAAGCGTATAAACCAAAGCCACACTCTATACAGAAAACGACAAAAAAACGCTAAGGCCCTCAAATCCTTACCCTAAACCCTAAACTCGAAACCCTAAGCCCTAAGCCCTAAACTCTAGGGGCCAAACATGTGCAAACCTTATTATTAAGCCCTATGCTTGGAGGTTCATGGGTGGTTCCAATTGGAGCTAGAAGTCCCCCAACATGGCTTGTAACTGTAGTTACCGTAGTTACCCACTTATCATCCTACTCCTAACTACCCATGAACCTCCAAGTGCGGTGAGCTTTAAACCCCAAAGCCTTAAACCATAAACCCTAAACAAGGATACAGAAAACTCGGATGACGAGTCTGAGAAGCCGAACAAGCGGAAAGATGTGAGCAGCCCCTGGGCGGCACTACGGGGCTCCTATACGAATGGGTTTGGGGTTTAGGGTTTAGGGTTAAGTGCTTCGAAACCGTTTCGAAAAGGGGGTTCCCAGAAGGGTTCCTTTAAGGGGGCTCCTTTAAGGAATTTCCTTTGAAGGACTTCTGGACGGGTTCCTCTAAGTGGTTCCATTACGGGCTCCTTTAAAGGGTTCCTTCAGCGACTTTTGCGGAGGGATTCGGGTTCAGTGTAGCTTTTGTGTAGGATTCTGAGAAGGGCCCCATAGCGATGCATAGGGGTCACAATAGCCTTTTTTGTGGAAATTGGAGGTAGAGGTGGACCCCAAACTCCTAAACCATTCTTGTGGCTACTGCGAGCATTAATCGGCTCCCCAAACTCCGCACCAAGTTTTGAATTGCAATGATCAGGATGACGTTAAAATCGCTAAATCCTACACCCAGAGCCCTAGACTAGACCTGCCCCATGGCTAGATCTCAAAAGCCAGCAGCTCTCCAATCTAAGTCTTACCCGCACCCCAGCTTTCCCTAAGAACCTTTATTGCAGCCGCAAGCAACCTCTTGACCTGGGTCCTTGTTGGATACACTTTTACATTTTTGTTATGATAAAACCGTAGTAAGGAATAAAAGATGACCATGTGTGGTATGGCTCCAAGCGGGAACCAGTTGAGGAGAAAGATGAGAGCCCCGTAAAGGGTGCCGAGACTTTAAATCCAACCTTGAAGGAGCCATTGAAGCAGCCCTGAGAGGACCCTTCAAGGGCACCCCTTGAGCCCATAGACGATCGCTTTTTGGAACCTGTTGAAAAAAGACCAAGATGAGAGGATGGAAGAAGGAGCCCTTAAAAGGAGCCTTGCACAGGAGCGCTGAAGGACGAGGTTCCCCAGTAGTACCTTTGTTGCTCTTTTTTACTGTTGGGTTCCCTCATTGAAACCAAACAGTGGGATAAAGGGTGTCCTTTATCATTAATGGGGCTACAGAGGAACCCAGAGGAACCATTGGAGCAAGCTGTGCAAACGAGATGAACTGATAGGATCCACAAGCCTATAAACCCCTGAACCCCTAAACCCCAAACGCTGAACCCTATAAACCCTCAGCCCTAAGCTCCAGGCTTGGAAGGGTCGGAGTTTGTTTTCATCTGCATCACCTACCTGCGCCTCGACTCCTTTTGTTGTTTTGTTTAGCTACTTGGAGGTTCATGGGTAGTTATAAGTGGGGTTATATTTCCCCTAATATGGGTTATATCTACAGTTACCCTACTTATAACCCTACTTATAACTACCCATGAACCTCCAAGTAGGGGCTTGGGGATGTAGTTTTCGGTGCTTTAAAGGTTTAGGTTTGCAGTTGTTTAGGGTTTGTGCTTTTGTTTTGAGGTTTGAAGTTGTTTAGGGTTTAGTGTTTTTGTTTTGGGGTTTGGGGCTTTGCGGTACTGGACTTAGACTTGCGGACTCTTGTCAGCCAGGGCCTTTGGGTTATTAGTTTAGAGTTGGTAGTTTAGGGTTTTCCTGGTAAGAACCCCGGCTACTTATGACTTCAGGAATACAGCCATAAAATAAGCCCGTGGGGTTTTAGGGCTTTTTGGGCTCTAGGTTCCTGTGTCTCGACTCGGAGTAGCCTAAAGCCTAAACCCTAAACC